GCCCCCCCCCCCCCGCGCAATTTGCTCCCCGACATTTTTGCGGGGACCCCCCCCCGTCCAATTTACTCCCCGCGGGGACCTCCCCCGCGCAATTTGCTCCCCGACTTTTTCGCGGGGACCCCCCTCGTCCAATCTACTCCCCGCGGGGACCCCCCCCGTGCAAAAAATTGCTCCCCGACGAACACTACTATATATTACTCATTCAAGCGCTCAATCACACCACATTCACCTATGCTCCTCGCTGACTCCGCCCCCGTGCTCAGACGCGTTTTTGTGGCGAAGTGCGACGAGCCATGTGAATTGCTTTTGTCGTTTGGTTGAATGTTGTGGGTATAGAATTGGTGGTCGATTTATTTGGTGCATTGTGTCGGTGGATTAGTTTTGCTCAAGATCAACGCATCTAGGCTGAATATAAGCTGAATGGGACGCGATTGGTTATTCAGTGAGGATCAGCTGGCGAATAGTCCATCAAGACGAGATGGTATCGACCGTGCGGATGAGGATCGTATGCGCAGAGAGGGTATTAAGTTGATCGTTGAAATTGGAACGTGCCTCAAATTGTTAGTTCTTCCTTCATTTTTCACTGTTGACTTATCATATTACTATTTCAGCGGAAATCTTCATCTAAGAAAGTAAGAGTTAGTGTTGGGAAACGACATTCGTGCCCTGAAGATGAGAAGTTTTAAACGTAGTTTTGAACATTCATTTATCCTACATCTTTATTGAGCGTTGGGAAAAGGTTATTTTGACAAGAGAAGAAATTAGGCTTGTTGCAGTTCAATTTTTTTCAAGTTCTATGCTCGTAATCGGAATTTATGTAGCTGATGGCATAATATGTATGTGGTGATTATTTGAGCATTCAAATATAAACTAACTCGTTTCACGTTTCAGGCAACCGAACCCAACATTAGCTACAGGAGCTGTCTATTTTCATCGATTCTACATGTTTCATTCATTCAGAGAATTTCCAAAACATGTAAGCGTGTTACACTCCGTCCAATTATCGTATATTTATCTAATAGTTAACCGTAAATTGACTATAATTCAAAAGTCACTTCATCCAATTTGCAGTTGACTGCTTTGGGATGTATATTTTTGGCCGGAAAAGTGGAGGAAACACCGAAGAAATGCAAAGATATCGTTACGACGGCAAAAGAAAAATATCCCGAATTATATTCACTGAAAAATGCTATTGTTAGTTTTCATTTGTTTTGAATCATTTATCTTTTCAACATATCGCACCTCTAACCCTCCAGAATTATAAGCCTACGCATTCGGCCTCTTATCTATACAAGTGTTTCAAAAAGATCTTTTCTGATTTTGTTTTCTGCTCCAATCTTCTAGTGATTCTTCAATTTGGTTGTGTGGAATGTGATCAGTTCTAGATGTGATTATACGATTCTTGTAAGTGTTTTATGAAAGCGTTAGACATTTTCAGGATGAAGTGATGGGAATCGAACGTGTTCTTTTGCAAACTATTAAATTCGATTTGCACGTTGATCATCCCTATACATATCTTTTGCAGTACCAGAAGGTACTTAATACTTTCTTACTTCACTGCTTCCATTTGATAAGTGCATTGAATAAAGCGGTGTAACTCTCTCGAGATATTTTGAACGTTTCTATCATTTTTGCGAGGCTATGAGCTGCAGTTTGATCCATCCAACTTTAAGGTATTTAAACTGGATCGTGAAAAGAAACAAACCGTACTGCAAAATGCGTGGACATTTGTGAATGATTCCATGTCGACTACGCTCTGTTTAATATGGGAACCTGAGGTATTTCAGTTTATTCTGCATCAAATTTTCCGCTTCTTTAAGCCAGCGAACAGCCTTTCATTCCGAAATGGTCTTTTCAGTGTTAATTCTCCAATTGTGTTGACAAATGGATTGTTTCATTTCAGATGGAATGTGGTTGTACTCATCTGGTTGTGCTATTGAAAATGATTCTTATTGCTAGTTTATTGGTTTTGATCTTAGGATAGGTTTGAAGTAAGCATATACCAAACTGTTTTCGTTTGATTGTTAAGGTGGTGGCAATATCGTTGATATATATGGCACTGAAAATGACCAAATTGGACGGTGTTGACTGGATCGATAGGCAGCCTGGTGAGCAGTGGTGGGATCAGTTTGTGGCGAATCTGACGTCGGATATGATGGAAGATGTGGGTTATTGGTGTTGAGTCAGTTCATTGAGTTTATTGCATCGAAGCGAAATGGATTCGAATTCATTCTCTGAGTTTGCATTTGCGATTTTTTTCGCAGTGCTGAATTGTGAGTAAAGGAATTTTGAAGTGCTCTCTTCAACTCTCAGTGGTTTTTAAATTTTTGAGACACATCAAAATCAATCCGTATGTAAAGCTTGTATTGTTTACATTCCCTAAGAAAGGAGGCCATTGCAAGTTTTACAAAGACCTGAGTGTTTCAGGTATGCCATAAGGTACTCGACTATTATACAGTAACAAAGAAAGAGCGATGATGCTGAGACAACAACCGTTTAGCCGTTCACGAGATTGCAGTAATGAGCATAAAGTTCGTATGCAATCAATTGCGTGTATCGTAACAATCTCATTTCCATCTTGAAATTGCATTCTGTCTTGGATTATGCGAAATTGAAAGTGCTGACTGCGCTAGCGTTATAAACTCTGAGATTTATGCCATAATTACCGTCGTTGTTACAATTCAGGTTGTTATTTGCAGTTGTTGCACATTAATTATTTCATGTACATACGATCCATTAATTGTGATACACTTTCATTCAGAAACGCGTTCGAATCTTATAATAATTGCGTCATATATTTACAAATGCGTGTTGTCGGTCACGTGAAGAGTGGTCTCGTTACGCGTTATGTAGAATTCACGTTGTAAATGTAACCATTCACATTTCATTTCAAATTTTGTGGAATTGTTCAACTGTTGTGATAAAATCAATCATGAAACAGTTTATTGAATGGGTCTTCGCTTTGCAAATTCGATATGTTCATTACGAATGATTTATTGAGCAAAATAAAAAAGAACAGTATACGTACATACAACGTTTACCATATTCATCCCGTATTGCGCTAAAATACGATTACGTTTCACATAAATGTCATCGAACTATTAATTCATCCGATTCTCCATTCAAATTTTACGTCGCAGATCACGATTCAACGCTATAGCAACATTTTCCATTTTCAAACTATCCAATTTCATTCAAGCGGGAGCATGGTTGGTAACGTTACGCTTAAACATATTTCGTTGAGCGCTTGTCGAAGTGACGCTGAAGAACGTTTGAGTGATGAAAAACGATTCAGCATCATCCTTTGATTCACTTTTTACATATAAGTGCATGTGCTTATATGAACATCAGATAAGGACTTTTGTTTTGTGGTTGGGAGTTGAACGAAGGTCTTTTTGAGCTGAATGAACCAGTCCAGCTGGATTTAGGTTTGTGCTCATCAACAGTAGTATAACGACAGCGACAATATATGCCCGCTTGGTAATCATTAGTTTTATGCTGACAGACAGCACATAGTCCAATGGGCAATTCAGCATCGGAATTAGAATGAAGTTATGAGTTGAGAGTTACAATTGTGAGTTTCGATCAAACGTCACCAAAAGTTTCATTCAGCATTCCCATCGGACCAACTCGATTTGCTGAGATCTTTTCTTCATTTGGGGTATTCTTAGCTGCACTTTTAATCAGTTGTGTCTGCAGAAGAACGACACTGTTGCGGTTACTCATCAAGAAATCCTTCAACGATTGAAGGCCTTCACCGTTCTCATTTATTGCATTTCTTTCCCGTCCATCATAACCTCAAAATAAAAACATGACAAATCGTGTTCAATACGCTCTATTCCTCGGTTTAATGAGTGTATATCCTTGGCAATCAGTGCATTATTATTCACTTAATAAGAGAATCTGTCTCCAGTAAAAAAATCAAAAAAAACAAGCTTATATTCGATGCCAGCATATTATTAGCAGAATACATCAATCCCTCTTGCGGAAAGCATCCTATTTTCACATAATGCTAATTAATTTTCCAATAAAGACTCAACCAGAGTGTTTATTAAGGTTTCTTTAAGAGGATCTCAGAACGATTATCATTACTTAATAATGTCATATCCTCCTTTCACTATTAAAATGCCTCTAAAGTATCGCATTAGGTTATCGATGAGCAACATAAAATTTCAGCACAGATACTCGTTGCTGTAAGAGTAAAGCCGAAAATTATCACTACGAGGTGTAGTTTACTGTAGTCAATTTATATGTTTCAAATGTGAAGTGAAAATACTATCGACGGACAATAACTGAACAGGGTTATTCACCTGCAGGAGGACGCAATCCAAGTCCCATGTAGCGTTTCGGTTTGGTTTTGCAACAAAACACTGTGTCGCCAGTTTTGATATTAATTTGTCTGATAAGCCAGTTGAGCAACTGCCTTATCACAATACTCGAAACATTGAACAAACAATACATACAACATGCGCCCAATGATAATAGCAAAAAATTTGCAATGCGCACTAAATTATGCGAATAATCAAAGTCCGATCCTTGATATGGTACAAAATCACCGAATCCGATCGTTGCAAATCTGTAAACTTCATTTCACAATTTTAATTTCAACATAATAAGTATCCTATTCGGCTGTAAACAACAACATTTCCATCCTCTGAACCGATTATTCAATTTCTTAACGAAGTCAATGCTTGCTTTGTCTTCCATTTCAAATGGTGACTGTTATGGATGTGTTATGTTAGAGACGTGTCAGTTTCTATCATTCAGTGGGCGAGCGAAGTTTAAAAGAAATACTGAACTTCGTACGAGATAATGAAAGGCTCGGGGATTTAGCACATCTCAATTATGTTTCGTAAGACAGTCGATTCAAAGGTCAGAATACGTTCATCAATTGACTGATTGCAGTGAAAGTTTAAATTGTACCAGTTAACGTCAGTCACAGACTACGTTGTGCTACAGCGAAACATACCCCTTGAAAAGATGACATTCTGCGACTGAATCTCATTGATTTTCGGCATTCACTGATATTCATCGTGAACATCCCAGAAAAATTTCAGCAATGCTAACTTACCCTGTGAAGCAAAAGTATAGCGAATCAGTGTAGGTCCATTGCTCAGTTGATGAATAAAAATACGCTGCCGAAAACATTAATATTGTGCAAATGACAAATAATATCACGAATACTTTATATACAGATGGCTTCCAGCCTTCTTCAACGCCATTCAGCGAGCTAAAGCTGAAAATGAATCACTGATGATAGAATCCTGAATGAATTCTTGTGTGAAGAAGGTTCGATTGTGATCTACATGCATACTCTACAGTGCTCGATTGTGGTCAGCTTTTCAACAACTGCAAATATCATGAGTTACAACAAATCAATGTTGAACTGACCATCGTCAGCCAATTCATTCGCTTGTGAAGAATTGGTTCAGAAAGTCGTAAGCAGTGAAGCTGCTTTCAAATTCCGTCTAAAGAAGCAATTCCATCTAAACACTCAAAGGAACAATCAACTCATAATCACGCTCTTCACTTGAGCATTTGCACAAACTCAGTGCAATGCCTCATACGTTTGATCTGGCACAAGATACGTGTGATACTCTTTATGTGCACCGAAATATCATTCGAAGCGTTCAAACCTAACAGTAATCGAATTTAGACTCTAAATTTGGGCATTTAACTTACGTCGACAAATTACCCACTTCGTGAGCGCACAACGGGATTGGTAACGATTCATCGCATTCATGTCTTCGTTTCACCTTCCGATCATGCACATATCTAAAAAACAATCGTTCACTTGCTGAAATGAATCTCGTTTGTGGTTTCGAAAAAAAAACAACAACAGTTTGACTCTTTACTGCGCATACTGCTCGGTAACACAACACAGTGGTGATTTGTAAGTTGGACGTTTTAACAAGATTTTAAAATAGTTCAAAAATAACTGAGTTTGAATAGCGTATAGATTACCAATTATTAAAGTTGTTCGAATAATGAACAGCAAAAATTTAAAGTTGCCATGCTCTCACCTCAACACATATGTTAGAATTGTGATGAAACGCTCGAGAAATAAGTTAAAAAATAGAACGCAGCAGGCGCATCCCAAAACACCGTAGACAATTGTGGTGAGTCGACCGATGGTTGTGCGAGGGGTGGACATTCCAAAACCTGAATTAGTGCTTAGCTGATGAATTAGATGCTGAGAATGTAGAGCATTCAGGAATAGTGATTATGAATGTGAGTCTTTCAACATTCATGTTGGAGTGTCAACTTTAAGTTTGACATGACTTTGGGTGAGTGAACTTTGCCGTCAAAGGTTTTTCCTTTTTTGTGGACACGAAACACCTCTAGCTGGATAACTTAGGATAGCTTGATTGATTTCTTGCGAAGCACTCGCCAATCTTTAACCTATCCTGACACTCTCAAATCCCTCGCGCTTTTAAAAGAATGGCTGAACGAGAGGAAGGGCATCTTCACTCACCCAGTCGATGACTGATCCATACGAAGATAGAAGGATTGGATGATGCATTCTTACCTATAGTCGAAATGACAGTACCAGCAAAAAAGAATGATCCAGAAATATCGAAGCGTTCACTTTGATACAACAATCCGGCAGAAGTTAAATTTGAGTTCAGCTCGAGGAGAAGTTCCAGTTGTTTGCACTGTTCAGTGCTATTATTGCACAACGATTCACGCACATTTTTTAGCAATATCGAATACTGAAACTACTTACTGTCACTTCATTGTTTTTAAATCTAACCAAGAAACACTGTTGCTGTTTCCGTGAAAATTCGATGCACTCAAGCAATAACAGTGTTGTTCATCCAAAAAATCAGCATATGACTAAATTCGAATAGAACAGGACGTTAAAGTACAAGATAAATGAATCAAAATCAACTGAAACAGTGTCTGCGATTTAACCCTTTTTTGAGAACATAAACTGAACGAGATAAGTTTTTAGGATGACACCTCGTTCTAGTCACACATATTTTACAGATATCCCTCTCTTATCAGTGTGGAATATATCGAGTGATTTATTCGTTTGTGGCTTCCAGTTGACCACAGTTATCTGAACAATAAATTCAAGTACATTTCCCAAGTTCAATGGTTTTTGTGCTGACTCCTTATTTTGCCAATCGATACTGAGCACGAAAATTTTCTATTAGATCCTCACTGGCTGCGAATTTTCAGTTAATTTGTTGATTACGGCTACTTTGCAATCAGAGTTCTTCATGAGTACTCTGTTTAAATGTTCATCAGCAGGATTTCCTATCCGTATCATTTAGATGTAAGCACCGCTTAGCCCCGAGATCTCCTCCTGTGACTGCTCACCTTCGTACTCCAGATATTAAGTTATAAGGATGCGACGAAATACATCTACTGAAGATATCCACAACTCCCAATTAAACGACCTCTTGCTTATCTCAGGCCACCGGCTAAATGGGTACGAATGAAGACACGAACTGCTCCATCGGTAGCCAGATACAACTGGATTGAGTCAGTTTAAGGCTTTGCTAATGTATTTTATCATTTTGCGAGCAATCAATTACCACTTGTTGTTAATCAAATGACTTGTGTTTCGAGGCGATACTAAGCTGATGGCATAAAAGATGATTGCTTTCATATACACATAAACAATCTGTTCAACTGGGCAGCTCATCTCCCGCATGAAGTAAATCTCTAACATCATCTTAGTAGCTAGTTGAATCAGCTGCTGAAGCCAAATCCATAATGCGATATTGATGAAATGATGTTTGTTCGCTTGAGTGCTATCGTACCTGGTGTTTTGGCTGCGCATTTAGTGGTCTTTATAATTATTCTGAATGGAGTCGAGCCCAATATGAGCTGTAAGCTTAATGGTGGCATCACTTTTGGTATAGGTCTCCATCTCGAACGGAGCAAAACGATCAAACTTCAGACTTCACATGGTCATCAGGTCGTCGATGATAAATTACTCATTTCCCAGCCAGAAATTCCAAAAAAATGAACTCACCCGTGTAAATCGAATATGAACTTTCTTAGTTAAGAAATTTGAACTGATTAATTTAGCTTCAATAAACAAACAATAACCAACTTCTCGCTTTTCTTGTATCTCATTTTCTCGCTCCAAATAATTGAACAGAATCGCACCAAAACCCAAATACAGTATCAGGATGAAGGCGAGTAGCATGAATCGAGCGCTCTCGTTATGAATACCAATCCGTGCAAAACAACCGATCTGAAACGAACTTAATCACACCATCAATTGATTCGTCATTGTCTGTCTTTCACACGAGCAATATTCACCAATTCTGAGTTAGCTGAATCAATTTTCAATGACTTATCACGCAACTCAATCATACCTACCATCATTACCAACTGGTTCATCTCATTCTAATCAACAGTCCATTGAAGTACGACCAAAATTATCGCGCAAATCGTAGCAGTATCAATCAAAAGAATGATGACCACAATGAGTTTTCATAAGAAGAATCGCTTTGAGTGTAATGTAACAGAGTTCCGAATCGCGGCTTTATTACGAACCCCCAAAATTCCCGGTCGGAATCTAAAGAGATCCATTTTCGCAATTATACCGAAAATTCAGATCGAATAGATATGTTCTAGATTCTAAATTACCAACCGATTCCAACCAAACGGCTATTATCATTAGATTGTACTGAATGGCAGTTGATGAGTTGGATTGCTAGAAGTTGATTCACTACTTCGTAGCAGTACTGAATATTCGACTACGTACGATTTCCATCCAAAATTGCATTTTCTCTTCCTCCTCTCAGTTCGCCTCAGTCAGTCAAACATCTACCATCTGTTGAATGCATGTTGCCAATTCAGTGGTGCAGGTATAAATTTTTTTAAGAAAGGAGTGACAGCCTTGTTTTGACTTTAGGTCAAAGTATCATACAGATCATCGTGTTGTTTTACAAACACCAATTGATAATCAAGTCTATTCCATATTGCTCAATTGTTCACGAGAAATAATTTAATGTGATGCTATTGATTAACAGCAACAACTTCCATAGAATATTTTGTGATGATATGACCATTTTCCTAATTGTAAGAAAACATTCCCTACATTCATGATGGTGCACCCTGAATAAGTGTCTTTTGCTGACAAAAATAAAATCGATGTGAAGCGCGTGTCCTTAAATCGATTGCAGTCAGTTATTGTTAAGCGTACTTGATAACAATGAATGTCATGTTTGCTGTTTGCGTCACTTGCCTTCGATTCGACAGTATATTTCCAGTCTTCAAAGATCACTGATCAAAATGTTCCACTGAAATTGCGTGCGCAAAGAGGGGTGAACGGCGAGTGACTTACAATGCGTGCCTCGAATCTGAACCGAGTCTTCGAACAATTTTCAAACTTCATTCACACAATTCTAAAAACCACGATCGCAACTCACAAAAACTCAACCATTGTTCAACGCCTGCATACCGTAGACTTTCCATTTCAAAACCATTTTTATAACTGTCACTTCTGATGCATTTTTCCTTGTTTGTGATCGTTCATTTCATTCCGAGGTTTATTTCTCACGAACGACATTCTCAATTCACCTACTGTTCGCCTGAAAATGCGTTGCCTGGCAACCATGAATAAACTCTCAGCTGTACTTCACTGTGTTGATCGTATTATCATATGTGATTATGGCTCAAGAATGCGAAGAAATTTGATTATCCCCTTTAATTTGATTATCACCTTGATTACATCAAGCACAAAATTACAAGACAGAAGACCCTTCCAGTACCGTTCTTACCGATAAATGATTTCATCGGTAAAACCCATGAAAATTTGTATATATTAGGCAACACTACTCAAGTGCTCAAATTCTGTGATAGTTTTTATTTGATACATATCAACGTTACAGTAAACTATTCCGGATTTTGATCGCAAGAAGTGAATAATTCTCTGATTTTCATCACTTCGCTGTAAGGTTTCCGTCCTAACTGCGTCTCATCAATGAAACCTTAGAAATTGCAGGAATGTACGTGCAACAGAAAAGCCAACAAAATTTTCCGAGAGCAATTTCAGTGGTTTTAGGAATGGTCTCAGCCAACTTATTTCAGCCCCTACTATTCTGCGTTCATTTGCAGTTTTATGAGGAACAATTCGTACTTTTTCAAAATCTCTCATGTCAATTTCTCAAACATATTTTATTATGCTTGAAAAACATCGTTCTAAGACATATATCACCTGCTATTAGGATCGTAAACATTATGGCAAACGCGTTGGTTCTTAAGTTGTTATCATCATACTCTTTTTTTTTGATATAAATCTCGGAGTATTATGCAAGTGTAAACCTCATCTTCAACACATTCACTGATTAATCCCTCGAACTGATTCATGCTACCAGCAAGCAGCGCAAGAATTTATAGCAAACGAAGTCGCTGTGAAGAGATTTTGCCTGTTGGATTATAAATAATTGCTTGTTACCAAAAGAACTGCATGTAATTACGTGCGATGGAGATATTATCACGATGGCAACAATGTCAATTAACGCAGTGCTCCTTAGAGTAGTACTCGATAGTGCTTCGTTAATTCAACAAAATTTCAATGACGCCTATGGTAGGGTTTCGTGCCTGAATCAGCTCATTACACACATTACTGTAAAACGATTGATATATTATTTGATAATTTAGAACGGGGAATATTCAACGATACATGCCAATGAGAATATGTGACACGGCAAATAGTGTTAGTGGACGATGTTCAGCAAATGGATGATAAACTGCGCGAGTGTTCAACAATTCACAACATATTCATTCTTATGAGTGAGCTGATCATACTGAGAGCATATGAACTTGAAACAGCAAGCATGCAACCAAAGAACTGAAAAGACAGCAAACCTCGGCTCTGGAAATATTCGGAAGGGTGTCGGCACGTAGCAAATCCCTTTGACCAACTCCTCCAGCAAACAGAATTCTTGGCATACCACTCGCAGAACTGATATTAGCGTCGTTGCTGATGTAATCAATGGTAGAAGTGTCTGCAGTAATAGCTGTGGTTTCGTTATTTGATGTTGTAATCGTAGACGTTGAGTCGTAACCAAAATTGCTGTGCAACAGTTTCGTTGTTATATTTAACTTGTTCATCAATCTCTGTCCAAGTCAACTTGATGATCAGTAATGGTTGCTGACCAGCAATCGAAAGTACATTTGATTGACTCGAAACACCTGATTGTGATCGTTTCAGATATCCACTCTGTTTAGGTTGCTATCGTCTGTCTGAAAGTGCTAAACAAACAAAGAATCGTCATCGAGTTGCTTTACACAAACCAATCGTTGCCTCGGAACCGTGCTCGCATGCAAAACATGAACACATAAAAGAATATCCTCTACAAAAGCTTTAACCAAATTCTATGTTCGATCCTTTGCGTGCAATATTACCTGTGTCGTTTCCGGGTAAACTGCACCAATCATTTCGCATTAGTCAGCAACCAAAACGGAGCCTAAGCCGAAGTTCAAACCGAAGCTTCGACTAAAATTTAGATGAAATGATGAAGATTCAATTAGCTGACGTAAAGATCGACTTCGATTAGACTAAATTGACTTTCAATGCAGATAATTCAACATTGATCTTTCGTCAGTGTGTTTTTCTATGCTTTATGCTAAAAACATGAATGAAATGAGTAAAGATGTCGTAGATGTTAGGATGCTCTGATTTGATAGAATAAGCGGACAGTGGTAGTTATTACAGCTCGTTTATTACGCCCGGTGGATAAAGGAAGTGCTGTACATGATGCTTTAATGCAATATGATATTTTGCTTCATATCTTTGTTTTCAGTTATCTCATTTCTATGAAATTCAATCAAGCAGATGTGAGCATTTCCGGAAAAGCAGACTCGTGGAATGAGTAAAATGTCAATTGCTGATAAGAGTATATGGTATCAGCAGAGAGAATTCCGTGATATAAGATGCGTTGACGAGTCAATTGACAAACTTTGCGGTGTGCATTTCAATTAGTCAAAGCTATTCGAAAAACAATTATCAGAGTACAAATTCAAGCATGTACGACAGAAACTTTCACAAATTTCCAAAGGAATTGATGAGTTTGGCAGTGATAAAGAGCAGCGCATCGATCGACAGCAATCAGTTCGTATGAACGACATTCGTATTGCTAAATTATAAGCTAAAGTAAGTTCAAAAATTCCATGAAATGCTAAGAACAATAGTCAACCATCGAACACATCAACAAATCAACTCATTAAGGAGCGAGGGTAGTTTTTGGCACAAAAAATGGAAGGCAGCAAATATTGAAGTGCCACTATAAATCTAGTGAGAATGGAACGAAACGTGGCAGGTATTTGATTGTTGAAGATGTCATTTATGCTTTATTAGTAGGACACGATAATGGTGAATGGTGAACAGTGAATGAAATGATCGAGTCGAATGCATTAGAGTGAAAGTGGAACACTGAACAATAGAGATGCATGAGTGATACGTGATTAGCATAGATTTGCTGTTGTTAATAATATCCGCACAAGATGGGTGGTACTTAGAGGAGAGCGTTTTCTAAGTCGTCAAATCTGCCTTCATGCTCTTGAATCTGCCTATGCTTGCTTGAGTATGGTGAACGTTGATTGAAACATTAAGGTAATGAATGGCAAAAGGTATCTGAATACATAAATCTCGAATGCAGTCACGAAGTGGCTCCGTGTATCACATTTTAGAATGGTTTTTATCACTAATTCTTTGATTTCTGATTCGGAATATGTGCGGCATAAATAGACATGCACCAAAAGTAACTGTCTCCTCATAATTAATTCATCACTCGAAAATAGCACTGTAATAGAGCAACTACATTGTGAAGACTACCACTGATTATTGCCTGACTAGTAACGTTTATGACTGCACTGGAATAAATTTGCAGCAAACGATAAACATATCATTAACAGGATGTTGATATTGAGTTGCGTCCACACAAGAAAACAGAATAATGATCTAATCAGCTTTTTTAATTGAACGCTTCAAGATTTCAAATCTTGCAATAAGAATCGAATGAAAATGAAATGATGTATACATTTATGTTCCGAAACTAGACTCAATTTCAGGTTTCACATGTTAAATTATATCATCGGTACTGATTCCGCTCGTTTCGTTGTGTTATTTGTGCACAATAAAATAGCACCACAACCCTAAGCAACCATCCAGACTGGAAAAACTGTCACTTAAATTGACAATCATTGACCCTTCGTAGTAAACAAATGCAACATATCAAATGCCTTCATATTTCAGTTGGTTAATACCTGAGGTATTAATCTTTTGTTCATTCAATCAATTATTTGTTATCATTAATGACGCACCTTTGCTTTTCCACCACACCTCCCAAACCGATAACATTTCAACCAATCGATTCGTATTAATCACGATAATTTGCTAAAGATAATCCGGATGCTTATAAATAAATGTGTAATTAAGTGGTTGGGTGATGCTGATCCGCAGGAAATGCTTTTTACTATTTCCTTTTTTTGACGTTAGAACTGATTCAATCATCTAAATTGAGATATGATCAGCTGATTATAGAGCGATTCAATTATGCAGAAAGATAGAGATGATCCCTTGCGATTGACGTCAACTGCAACACACTGACGTCTTCATAGAGCTCCTACATTCCTGTTTCGTAGCATATTTTCCATCAACAATTATAGTATTTCAGAAGTTCATAATTCAAAAAACGATAGATTCCAGATTGATGATATTTTACGAGATAATTTTTAAAATAGCGTGAATTTAACGTGCAAATAAATTCTCAATAATTGTTTAACACTAAATTGAGTACGATTATAATATATGCTTTGCCGAATGGAAATTTCGAGATTTTAAAACTTGTTCAAGAAAGGAAATTCATTGCTCCATTTTAGGAAGTACTCTCTGCATAATTTCCTGGGCTCTCTAAACGGTTCTCTTCAGGCCAGTTGCTAATCAGCTATATCTAATAACCTTTCTATTGTTGCTATCATCGGGTACAGAGATCACAAACTATCAGTAAAATACATAAATTGTACAGAAAAAGGGAATTATGAAATCCTTGAAAACGCAGAAAAACACAGATAAAATTTCCTGATTGAAAAATGTTTGTCTGTAGAGATCTAACTACATTTTTGAAGACTTATAGCGGGGCGATTCAATTATGCGTGTATTATGCGTCAATTGATCTCTGTGATAACGATTGAATACTGAACTAAAGGAATGCAAACAAAACTGAATGAGGATGAAATACCACAGAACTTATGGAATTTGCTTAAGTTCCGAAACATCGAAAAATTTTGAAGTCAAAACTCGTTTAATCAGCATCACTGCTGCAATCAGTTCGTTGATGATTTATTTCATCTCGACATCCCAGTGAGCGTAAAGAAATCTAATGAAATGAAACAATCCTCAATCAAACGTAAAAATTTCATAAGGCTCTCATTCATACCTTATTTACGATTAATTTCTTCAGTTTAAACCGATCTCTTTACAAATGCTTATGTTAGCAGTGTCTTAGTAGTAGATATTCGACCGATCTCTTAGTATTACCATTTTGATCAATTATCCCAATTTTGATCAAAATAGCCATTTTGATCAAATTAGTAGTTATTTTTTGGGTTACGGTAGTTTTTGGCGAATCATCGGCTCCTCGAGCATTTTTCAAAAAAGTTTGTTGCAGAGTTGCCACACGATTTCGGAATATTTTTTGAAAAATATTTCGAAAGTTTTTGTAAATTATTTTTCGCAAAATTTGTTTTGAAATTTTCTCTCAAATTACTTTGCGACATGTCTCTTCGAATTATTATTGAATATATTTCTTTGCAACAGAACGTTATTTTCGTCTATGTATGTATGCTGCACATTGCATTAACACCACTGTGTACTACAACAATCTGGAATTGAAATCCGATCTGGGATTGGAATCCAAAATTAATCAGTGCTGATCAAGTTTGAGCGCAAAACCGCTATGGGACCATATCGTGAAAATAATCTGTTCAACCCATCCTTTTCGGACTTCCCATTCGGCAAGTCGCTGTACCGACCGACTGCTGGCAGTATCGATGCAAAATGTCGTTCGCCAATGGTTCATTCGGATTTCAATCGTAATTTCTGAATTAATCAGCAAAAACTATGACGAGTTTACAAGTTATGTGTTTATATGTCACATAATTGTTGTTGCACACCTTCTATCTGTTGAACTGCCCTAACTTCACACAGATTAAGCACACGTCAAAACGATATCAATAATGAGTGCGATAATGTTCATCGTAACATCAGTACTGACTAAACTAGAAATAATAATTTGCTTAACAATAGTAATGCTAATGATGACAATGACAAACGATCAGCAGTAAGAATGACAATAATAATAACAATGACAGAAAACAGTTGCATACTAATTACAGTAATAAAAACGACATGCTTACAATTAGAAGATGACAAAGTAACAATACAAGTAATAACAAAATCTTCGTTGGTTATTTCGTCCATTCGAAGTATGCTATACAATACTCCTCAAAAAATTTCAAAATCTCGCTCTCATTTACGATTAGTAGTGTTTCATGGCAGCTGAACCGTTTGTGGAAACGGCTCAGGAGACTTCCACATGTTGCCCTCTGATACAAGAAAGAAATGTACTTAATCGAACAGTTCCCAGACGTTCGGGCAAGGAAATGATACTTGAACTGAGTCTCGCAAGGGCCAATGTATCCTTACTATTTTGTTGGACCAGATTGAAGCATCTTTGGCAACTTGAGCATCGTGGCAATCCGTTAACAGACATATGCCATATCACTTCTTGTCAAATGCACGATCCGTGCAGTTGTGGATTGATTTGTTCCGTCGACAAGTTTCGGATGTTTTCGGCTTGTTCTCGAATCATCTGATGCGGGCGAGGATCAAAAATAGATAATGGTTTGTCAGATGTAGTTGTTAGGTGCTGAAGAATTGAAGATTTAAAACAAAAATCCTTCAGTTTAATGTAAACAAATTTTCTGTCGGCCCTTTAGCATGATCACGTTTCATTTCGTTGAAATTCTAAATCCTCCCTCGAACTCAGGTTGCTTTAGTGCCCCCAAAATTTTTGTCCCATGATTTTGGTCTACGTCATTGCAGAAAATACTGGCCCCTCCAAATCACTTGGAATCTTTAAATGCAGACTCCGATCCGTTCCATCCAACAAGATCGGGTTTATATCCGTGATAAAATCCTGATGAACAGTTAGCAATAGCAGTTTGAAAAATGCACGTGAATTATTATTTATTCTCTTTCTGTTCGATGCCAACTAAATTAATGATATGATGATGATGCCATTATGTGTTATTGCATGCTTGACATGATAACTTTCTTCTCCTTTCAACGATCGTTGGGGGAGCACATTCGTTACTACGAATAATTCTGTTCCCTTATTCGTTCTATTTGCTAATCGTATGAATGAGTGAATAAATATTTATTTGTTGGACATAATGGTGGAGAACCTTTGGTATCATGTACGGAATCGCATGACCCTATACATCGGTCCTTTGATAGCTGCCACAGTTATACTAATTGACTGGAATCACACGAGAGAGTGGAAAAAGAACGGTCGCAAATCAGTTCTTGATAAATTTCTTCGCGATGAAGATGACGCCTCAGATGGTCCAATTCGACAACAGAATCAACAGCATTAGGTGTCTCTTTGTGGCTTATTATTTGATGTTCATTTCAGATTATTCACTCATTGTATTTTGTGAGCACGTAACTATGGGCACCTTTACGATCACTTACTTCTTACGCAAAGCTGTTTGGGATCACAAATACATGTGGGCTGCTGTTCCATTCATCTACTATTTTGGTATCTTATTATTTCAGATTAGTTCATTCAATTAGTCAATAAACAAAGTTTAAACCAAAGCTTTAGATCAGCAGCATCACTTAAAGTTGTGGTGACAAATTTCAAAGTCATGATCAGATAAATTTAAATTGTATTGGCTACGGAAGCAGCCGAAGTCAGCGATTTTAAGGACCTCGTACTAATGGTAGAGAAAATTTATCTAAAATTTGCTTGAGATGATTATGGATTCGTCAAAAAATGGTATTTACTTATTAACGGATTTTGTGGCTGGCTCACGATCAGATGTTTTCATTGAGCATGGGTTGTTTTAGGTAAATGCTGGGACGCAGCAGGCTACCATAAAGTGCAGATGATGAAGGGGCATAGCAAGATGTATGCCAGTCGAATTGCCGCAATCCCGGCGGGTGAAGACGTTTGGCGATATTAATCTAATTAGGCAATAGAACATTTGATTAGAGAATTGCTTTCTATCGAGATCGTTTCTATTAATTTGTACGAATTGTAATAAATTTGGTAGATATTTATTATTTCTTTTGCACTGTGTGGAAGCAATGATCATTATTGATGCAGTCGATACAGATGTTGGCTGATGGTGGATAAATTTTTGATACTTTAAGATGTCATTCATTGTATCATTCAGTAACTCTTACTCTGATCAAGTCACGGTTTAGTTTAAATGCTAAAGGGAACTTATTTTGCAAGATGAATTATCTTTGCATTCAATAATTTTTATTCAGTCTATTGACGAAGAAAGATTTTCGAATGAGAGACAGGGTCAGAAGAACAAAAAAAAAACAGGGGAGGAAGCTCAAAAGATGAGCATTTGTTTGCTAACAAGAAGATTACNTTACCATCATCACTTAACATGGAATACTCTCCACTGAAGAAATTCGTCCATTAAGGAACGTTCAATCGCTGTCTTTTCAGCGTTTAGTGTTAGTTTGTTCAAATTCAACATTAACTGATTTATACACAGCAAAAATGTCGTACGTTATTGAAATCGCTCTGAATAAAGCCACAAGAAATGGATGATACACGTGAAATACAGATACGTAAATTCGATCACTGATCGCTTGAGTAAACTGACTACTGTAAACTATTGTAATAACATGAAAGAACCAATAAAATATCGTCACAACTATTTAATCATCAAAACTAACCACAAATCCCCTTCAATATGTTATACACATGAAGTAGCACTTGTCTTCATCCCCTAACAATTCACATCACTGCTTTCCTTATATATCGCCTCACTGACTGTTTATCCAAATATCACATTCGGCCACAAATATCATTTGAACTTCCCACAAATTTACATGTTACCACCAAGAATCGTACACAAGTTCCTAGACTCACTCCATCAGGAAGCATCCACATACTAGATGAAAGTGTTTGTCCTTGAAAGTGATATGCAATCAGCCTTTAACAATCCCTCTTTCATATCATGTTCACGTTACCCACAAATTATACACGAATTTAAACAATATGCAATGTTACATCTGGCAGCACTCACACAAAAATGTGCATTCGATCATGAATGAATTAAGAATTAACGGGTGATTGATCTCCTTACGGGAAAGACTTGGACAATAAAGCATCGAATCAGATGCGATCATAGGAAATTCATACCTTAGACTGATGCTTGAGCGGGTGTGGCAGAAGGTATGAGGAAGAGATGTAAAAGAAGTTAAAGCGAGTTTTTGAGCGGTGAATGTGAATAAAACAAACGAACAAAACATGACTGCAATCGTCCACAGCGAAGTGAACGACGAATCAAATCAGAACGAATTAATCGAACAATGATAAAACTGTGAAGGAGTAATCCTTTCGAAGCGATCCATCCAAAAGAATGCATCAAACAGATACAATCGTCAATAAACGCACAACATCCATAATCTCGGCTATCATTATCATTGCCTACTCACTCAGAACGTCAGCAGTTCAATAGAAACAACACAAAAATGCTCTGATATATACAATACTGCATGAAAACACAACACGCTGCACAAATCCGTTCATTCAAACAATTTTACCAGATCAACCGAATTGCTCAAAGAGGAAAACGAACAAAATTTGAGCGCAAATAAAACAAGATGATGAGTAAATTATTGTTGAATGGCTGATGAAGGTCAAAACGAATCAATGAAACAAACGATCGCAGTTAAGTCGTACAAGAAATTATTTGTTGAATGAACAATAAGTTACGAGAACAGAATTCTACTCCCACACCCGTTATATTCACCTCAGCGAAAGCGCTCGAAAGAATGTTCTAATAGCAGTCCAACTCAGTGAATCGCTCCTCTCTTCTCATAGGCATCTCAAACAGCCAAAAACGAAATACCATTGCCCTCCAGTGGACATTGGACGACCTCGCCTTTTCCTCATCGCAAAAGTGGTAATTCCATGAAGAAATTTTCCACTCCAGTGGAATGCCAGCTTTCAGGGTCTAGAGGAAGATTGAAATGGGAACGCCCTAGAGGAAGGAGACAACTACATTTGTTTGGAATCAGTCACTAGTAAAAGTCATCATAATCAATAAGGCTCACGTCCTTCTCACAGCAAGGACATTCGGTGAACCAAGATGATGCTAACAATTTCATATAAGCATCTTGAACACGCCACATCGAGTACTCGCTTTCTTTCCAGCGAGATGAATGGCAGATAAACATCACCGTTTGAAACCGTGCGTGCAGTTGAGGTAGAACTTCTGCAAATAAAATAGTATGCCAATCGCTCGGCACATACGCCATCATGCAATTAACAGAAAGCATTCCCTTTCGATTCCAAAAACCATCCACTAAAGAACATCTAGTATTTCTTCAATGTTTGTTATCACGTCATTCACTAAAACTGAATGATCCCAAAGAATTTTCACCCTACAACGCCACTCTTTCAATCAGTGGAAGATTCAATAAATGAAGAATGTAATGATCAGATGAACCTGATGAAAGTGGTCCTTTATTGCCACCAAGTATAACAGCCTCAAGTGAGGGCGTGATATTTTTATCGGAGATCATCTTATAAATGGACTCGTTCATTGGTCCCATTCGACAGATGGCCAAACGACGCAGATGCGGAAGTGCTCGAATCGCCGATTCAATCGCGAGCATCCTAACTTTGCGCAATCCTCGCAAACACAACGATTCCAATTTAGGACACCGCTGAAAGTAACATTGTTATCATTATGAATTCACAGCCTTTAACCAGCGCCAGTACGCACCAAATTACAGGTGAATGCTACTGGTAGATTTTTTATTATGTCTCTGCTGTTGGCGAATGCTTTATGATGGCAGACTATTATGAAATTAAGGAATGACTACTCAAAAGATACTATCATTAGACACTTGGCACCTGACCATTTATGGAGTACTCCGAAATCGTTTCCAAAAAGCAAGACGAGAAAAATTATTGGAAGAACGATGATTGCAGCAGCCAAGAAAACACCGACCTCAACAAGATGCTGTAAATTGTCATCAGTGAAACGCAATGAATTTCCAATGGCGAACGAGAGAAGGCTTTGTGGCAGTGAAACGCACATAGCATCCAAATCAGCCGGGAGTGTATTCTTGCACAGTTCATGAATACTAAGAAATTCCAAGTTTGATAGCTGTGACACACCCTTAATCATGTCAGACCACATTGAACGGCTGTGATAAGCGATCGCACAACCCGATAAAAACAGTGAGCGCAAATTCTGCATATACATCAAGCCTGAAGACTGAATTTGTATGACGGCAAACAACTGAAATATCGTGAACTTTCAATTAAATGCACTCAATCCCTTCATTTCAGCGAGACCTGCTGAAAACAATTACACTCTACTCACAATTTTTAGCACGAAATATCAATTCAGCACTTCTTTCAGAATATTCAGGTCGGCCCTCAACAATAACTTGCACGCAATACGTCATTTGAAGATTTCAGAATCTATTGAAACGTCTAACAATCCCCGCTAAGAAGGCAACAAAAGCAACAGATCAACGAATCAAAAAACTTGCCGTTGAAGAAACGTTTAAAGCAACGATGATTAAGAGGTCTGAACGAGCCGACATCCAACTGCAGTGTGGTGATCGTGTTCAAGTCAACGATACGAGGTAACACTCTCAACATCAGACGATAACCCTCTTCACTCGCATAACTCGTCATACATATACACAAATGCAGCTCTTTCGTCTTCTTGTTCACGTTCTAAATCATTACAATTATCAAATAAATCAAACACTTTTATCAGCAAATGTTCACGTGCCTTAATATTTCAAAAAGATATGATACGAATTGCTCAACCAGATATGAATCTCTGCTCAAATTTTTTTTCGCAAAAGTAAATTTTTGATGGCACAGGAAAGATTCGTCATCGCTCTTATTTCTCTCCTATCTATTTCCATCGAGTACAAGCCTCCTCTTAAGTACACATTTCATCGTCACAAAATTTATCCACATAGACTGGTGTTCATCATTATTACTGGTTACCTCTCCTAATAAATTACTTCGGCCTGACACATCCCCTAAACAAACATTACGAACCTGTAGAACTGTGATCGCCTCAGGAACATTCGTAAACGTCCTCAAATCGATCGCTATATAAAAATAATCTATTTTCACGTTCATCTCATCAACCTTTTTCATTATATTTGTTATCGTCATCGCACCACAATCTGACAGATGAATGCGACGTATTGATGGCGATAGAATATTCTAAATTGTTGTCAATATTATAAATTCCATTTCCATTCTATTAAAATCGCACTATAGAATACAATCAACTATCGAATACAAACAACATCTAACATCTTCAAATGAACAATGAATTCAAAAAACTCAGACAATGAAATCTCACCACAAAATTCTCACAGTCCTCCATTCTATCAAACCATATACTGTGAATGCACAGAGATGATATCCGATGCATTAAAGAGGTCTCCTCACCTGACCCTGCAATATTATAACATCACAAATATTCCATATATCACTCAAAAACCACCCACAAATTTTCAACGAGAAATTTCGCCCACAGCAATTTATCAACGCATCGAGTCAATCCCAAATTAGAAAGATGCAACAAAATTCGAATGCAATGAACTAACAAAACTTCACGGCATCTACAGAAATGCAGCAATTTCGGAGTGACAGAGAAGTGGCATGTGGAAGTGTGTCAATCACCTCGCATATATCTCGAGTCACTACCAACTGCAACTGACCGTTTTTGTTCAAAAAAATTTTCAAAAAAAAAAACTCGCGAACTTATGCTGGAATTTTGATGAAGTGACGCAAAGTGCTTTCAAAAAATGAAGAAAAAACATGAAATGGCTATGATAAACAGTGAACAACGAATTCAGAAACAATGCCTTGACCATAATCTGGTGATTCATTAATAAAAAGAACCTGATGATCCGGGATATAACCAAGTCGACGTTCACAATCCGTGATTCCACCCAGACGAATCTGTTGAATCTGTCTTGCGAAGCGTTTGATTAACGCTTTCGTAGTTATGATGAAAGTGGGTGGTTGAGTGCTCAGATCGGATTTAGCCGACGAGACCCGTTCGGTAGATGTAAGCGATGGAACGTTGATACGATTGCCAGCGATGTTCAGAGAGAGTATTGGCTGCACCATCTGAACAACATCTTTGCGTTTTCTTTCGCTTTTCAAATAAAATTTCAGCCCTTGCTGATTGTCGGTCTGTTTAAAATTCGACAATATCAGCGAATTTTAAATGTGCTCACACAACAAAACTATATCCGTATCAATATCAAAACATCAACAAATAGAATTGGTGAGTGTGCAGTAAAAATCAATCTGAAATTATCGTGTCGAAAGAAATGGATTATTAAGCTGAATTTGGACTGGCCTTACGTAATATATTCATAACGAAACAGGCAATGTACAAACCGTATAGTTGAAATCCAAAACGGAGTTGTCCAAACAAAGACCTTTATATGGACTTCGCATACTGATACGCTGCATGCGTTTCGAACACAGCTCTATATTCACACGATCCTTGAATCATAACTTATCACAGGTAATTATAAAATTTATGAGGAACTTACCCAATCACAAATTTAAATTTTGTTCGCTACAATCTAACGAACCAATAAATCACAACGGTTTAAGCGGTTCCACAAATCTGCTTAAGACTTAACAGCTTCATACGGAAAGGAGTAGTGCACAACCAATGGTATTTATGAAACACAAGATACTGCTTGGTCTCAACGAAACAAGAAAAAATGTCATTGAGAGCACATAATCACAATCACAATAACAACTTGTAATAATATACCTTGACAGAAGGAACAAATGATATGATGAGCCCCATTATATAGTCATTGTAGCTGACCTTATCCTTCGTGTATGCCAAATCTATAATATATTGATGTTACACATCTTATTTACATCCTTCTACATTATCATCAGTACAATTTCACCTTTTTTGTCACTTACATTCCAGTATTTATTCGTGCTCCTTATTGGTTTGACCATCCTATTATTTAGCTAATTTTTGTCACATTTATTAAACTTTTTAAAAGTTCATTATGAAAAAATACCACAAGCCAAAATATTTCACTCGTTAAATTTCTCAATTACAAACTTGCCATCATCATCGGCGTCCGAAGATTCCACCTGCTCATCACCTATCCCATTCTCTTGGCCTTGCATCTGCACATTCTCCGAGATGATCGCTTCCTCTTGAGAATCTGAAAGCACAACCAATCTTCCACTAACATACTCTGATCAATAATCCTACCTTTATCATCACTTTCTTACATACAACGATAGCTGAAACTAACAATCCTTCCGAAAACATGCCTATTCCCTACTGAGCTTACATGGAAACGTTCCATTCTTATGAAGCACAGTATTCACAATAAAATAATGCTGAATAAATACTATGCGAGTTTTATGGCAAATCAATATTCTTATGGTATATTACAATAAGATGGTAAATTACCGCTTCCATTGTCCAATTCAGAGTCTTGAATCTCTAAATCGCCGTTCTGTTCCTCATCGCTTTGATTAATTTGGCAAGATTTAAACATCCCTTGTTTGACTCTTTGCTCATACAACAAAATAACTGAAAGAAATGCATATGCGATTGTGAATTCAACGAAACTTTCGAACATAAAATTCAACGTGAATTTATTTGATAGAAACAATGCCGACGTGATCGGACAGTGAGAGGGTCTGCATGTGAATTGTGCAGTGAGTAAGCGCAATTGAGTGCAACTATAATGATAAATGAATGTCGACAATAAATTCAACGTGAAATCATCAGAACGACAAAAAACATTTAAACACAACCGCTCCAAACGTGACGTAACCAATGAAATGAGCATTCGTCATCGCATCGTTCTGATGATAGAACAAAATGACATGTGATCTGACAATCAAGCTTAAGAACTGATGAAAAAACTAAATTCTCGATTGATAGAATTTTCGGAAACTATATATCTACAACACTAACGTGGCTGTAACGCAAACAAAAAAAGAAACACACAAGGACAAATGCGCGCAAAATGGGTCTACGACAATTTCGTCCGCGACAACGTGCAACTCCGACAATTTGCGCGTGACGTATTTGTCCGTCATCGTGCAAAATAAGTTGNAATTAGACTGATAGTGAGTTAGGTATGTGATATGAATATCCAACGAATTTATTGCACCTTAATCGACAGATCCAATTCAGATGAAGTGCACACCATATGGAACAATATGCAGAGACTCATGTAGAGGTATTTGACTGAACACTGTTCAGAAGTTGATCGGGCAGAGTTGGCTACATCATAGCAATTTCGGATCATGTTCGTTTTGCCTCAATCAGTGAAGTGATCAATCTCATGTGGATTGCCCGGTTTTCTGGGCAAACACAGCCTAGTTCTTAGAATTGCTACAATTCATTTTCAATGAACAATCTTCATAACGATACGTTCACTTGCTTTATCCGCCTTGTCCTCTTGAGACTAACCATTAACTCAGATCGGAAGCAGATGATGCTAAAAACTTAGACTTTCGTAAGTTAGTCAGAAATTGAGTGAATTGCTAAAGTGACTGAATGCAGCGAGAACTAATCATCATCAATTCATTTTATCAGCAGCATGCTCCACACAACCACCATATTACAAACTGAATCACTCGCATAGCACCAAATACGTTTACAACCAACAATAATCAATGCAAACTCGCTCCCGCACGTAACACTAAAAGAACAATTCAATATAATAGCATTCAGCATTCTGCATAAAGCATAAATATTATGCGATAAAACAAATGAAACAGTAACAGTACTTATAATATGCTCAAAGTAACAAGGAAGCCGATCATCGTGCAATATACAAGTTGAACAAGTTCACCTATCAATCCACCCTTTAACTGCTCTACGATATGCAACAGAGGAAATATTTGAAAGTCGATTGATCATAATCATAAACTAATGACTGTCACGGCTAGTAAATATTCTCGAAGTATCAGTTCACTGATAAATATCTATTGAATAAATGATACCCAAGCATTTCTCGAGAAATCAAATCATTCCCTATATACGACATTTCTTTAAACTATACTCAGTCGCCGTAACATCTGCAGAAAGTGCTTTCATCAAATCTATGAAAGATATTTAGAATCAGATCTAACTACTCTAACTACTACTCTACTCGTAGGGACTCCATTGAACTGCTTTGAACTTTGCATAGCATTCACTTTTGCAAGCCAACAAATTGGGATGAAGTTTAAACGTAATTTAAAC